AAAAAAAAAAAAAAAAAAAAAAAAAAAAAAAAAAAAAAAAAGAAAGAAAGAAAAACAATTAAAAAAAGAAAATAAAGAAAAAATATAAAAATATATATATATATATATTAGATAAACTAGTTAAAAACGTTAAAAAAGGGTAAAAGTTAAAAAAATTTAGCAGAAGGGAAAAAAATTGAAAAAGAAAAAAAAAATTAAATTAACTGCAAGGCTAAAGAATCATGGGGAGAAAGCCATGAGTTCCGTGCTTTACTTTCTCCTCCTCTGGAATTCCGCTGCTCTCCTTGGTATTGAAACTTCACTCCTTGGTGGGTGAACTTGGTCCTGACTGGATTTCTTGTGTTCTTCTGGGGGAGGGGCCTGTTGTAGTGATTCTCAAGTGTCTTTGCCCCAGGCGGAGTTGCACTGCCCTTACCAGCGGCCGGGCTGAGTAATCCGCTCGGGTTTGCTTTCGGGAGCTTTTGTTCCCTGAGCGCTTTCCATAGAGTTCCAGAGGACGGGAATGAAAATGGCGGCCTCCCAGTCTCTGGCCCAGAGGAGTCGAGAGCCGGGGGCCCCACTCCTCAGTGCGCCCTCAGAGAACAACGCCCAGTTACTCCCATCACCCTGGCCTCCAGCTGCACCGAGCTGACCGAGCCTGCGAGCGGTTCAAGGTAACCCCAAGCTTAGAGCTCACTCCTCGGCTCTGTCTCTGTAGCCGGCTTCCCCGTTCTAATACCTGTAAGCTCTGCGACACTCAGACACCTCCGATCCTTCTGTGACCCTGCGGGACCTGAGGCCACGCTGACCCCGCGTGGGCTTCACCCCGGTTAAGCCTCTGGAGCGATGTCCCTCAGCGGAACAGACTTTTAAAAGTCCCGATTTTGTGCTCCGTTGCTCCGCCGCTTGCCGGGAGCCGGCCCCTCCCCCCGGGGTCTATCTTCCCGTCGCTTTGGATTCACTTCTCCGCCAGTCCTACCTTTCAGAAAGTGGTTGATTTTCTGTTTCTAGAATTGCTGTTCTTCTTCTCTTCGATCTCCCGTTGGATTTGTAGGTGTTTGCAATCTTTAGATAAGCTATCTAGCTGATCTCCCGCAACCTGAAGTAGTCTCAGCCTGCTACTTCTCCACCATCTTGACTCCCCCCCCCCCAAACTGATATGATTCTTAACAAAAAGTTGCTTTATTTTGTAGTAATATGTACTCTATTGGCACCAGCAACAACTGAGAAGTAAAGTGTCTTTATTGATACTGAGTGGGATTTTCAAAACATCTACACAAGACTATGATGATCTAACACATTTGGAACTTATGACCTTTCCCACTCATTTTGTCAAAAATAAAAGCGATTTTAAGAGGTAAATGTACATTTCTCCTGTATCAACACTGGTTATTGTTCTGGGACATACATATAATCTAAGCAATATTGTAATTAAAAAACAGGAGATATCCTATGAGAAAACATAAACCAGAGTAATCCTCTGCATGGTATGCTACATCACCTTTTAATGCAAAGGACCTGATAAATTTACATGTATGTCTTAATCCATGATCGAAATAATGGGAAAGAACAGAATAATGCCTAGCTAGATCTATTTCCTATGGTTTTTAATAGCTTATGGTAGAGGGACTCCTGGGTGGCTCAGTAAGTTAAGTGTCTGCCTTCAGGTCAGGTCATGATCATAAGGTCCTGGGATTGAGTCCCCAGATCGGGCTCCTTGTTAAGCAGGTAGTCTGCTTCTCCCCCTACCTGCTGCTCTCCCTCTGGTTGTGCTCTCTTTCTCTGACAAATAAGTAAAATATTAAAAGAAAAGAAAAGAAAAGCTTATGGTAGAAAGTAATACTTGCTAATTTAAAACTCCTATCACATTTTGTTTTAGTTATTTAAGTTTTAAGATTCTGAAATTTTTAGTTTAACATTAGTACCCAAAAAAGAAACAAGAAAATTAACAACAAAAAATAACTCTACCCTCATGTCACTTCCAAAAGATATTAGGCAAAATGATGCATTGCTGCATAATTTAGAAAAGGTGCCACTAATTTCTTAAAAGTAGATAAGATCTCAGAACAAGATAGTTTGGAAAATTACTCCAAATTACTAGTGCTAGTAATAAAAAAGGCTCAAACCACCTTAAAATCTTTGGACTCCCCTCAAGGACTTACGCTTAATTTTTTTCACAGCTTTAATGTACTGTCCACGAAGTTCTTCCAAGGCCCTCCCATTGCACAGCAGGCAAGCATTTTCAATGGCCCCTTCTGACAACGACCTAAAAATGAACAAAACATTACATACAGAGATTGTTAAGTAAAAATATCTAGCTATCTATATATTCCAGTAATATCTCACTGAGATGTGCAAAAAAAAATTATATATCAGGATCTTTATTATATTGTTATTTAAAATAGGAAAAAAAATAAAAACAAATGTTAGGGTTACTTAAATAAATGATAAATCCACATAATGAAAATATATGCAGCTACTAAAAAGCACATTATAGGAGAATATTTAATGATATGGAAATGTTTATCTTATACCATCATATTAATAAAAGCTTACAAAATAGCTTACATGACAATCTCAGTTTTAAAAACATGCACATATGAGTATAAAGGGGCTTAAATGATAAAAAACAAGAGGTTAACAGAGGGTACCTACTAGATATAAAGTTTTGGTAGTTTTTTTTTTTTTATACTTCTTGCCACATAACAATAACAAGTTTTATACTCTTGGTATGACTATTATTAATTTAAACAGTATTACAAAGTAAAAAAAATACTTAGAAATAAAGTTTCTTTAAAATAGTAAAAGTTGGGCACCTGGTGGCTCAGCTGGTTAACTAACTAAACTCTTGATTTTGGCTCAGGTCATGATCTCGGGGTTGTGACATCAGGCCCTGAGTGGGCTCTGTGCTGGGTGTGGAGCCTGCTTAAAATTCTCTCTCCCTCCTCTTCCCCCTACTCACAAATGTTCTCTCTCTCTCAAAAAAATAAACAAAAATAAATTCAAAAATAAAAATAAGGGGCACCTGGGTGGCTCAGTTGGTTAAGCATCTGCCTTCAGCTCCTGATCCCAGGCTCCTGGGATCAAGTCCCGTATTGGGCTCCTTGTTCAGCAGTGAGCCTGCTTCTCCCTCTGCCTGCCTCTGTCTCTCTGACAATAAAATCTTAAAAAAATAAAAATAATAAAATAAATAAATAAAAATAAAATAAAATAGTAAAAGTCTACCTTGGTGGTATTTTATGAAGTGTTTTAAGTTCATCCAATTTACTCTTCATGTCATTGTTTTCTTCTAGTAATTCTTCAACAACTTTACTATTCTCTTCTAAAAAAAGAAAATTAATGGTATATTGGTCAGTCGATCTTTTTTTCCCCTCAGTCTTCCTCTCCCTGAAATTCCCAGTGCAAATGTTTATAGAGGAGATTGTGGAACTGGCAGTTGCACCCTGTGTCATTCATTTCCTGATAAGTCCTCATCTGACCAGTCCCTGTTCCAGTTTCTTAGCACTTAAAATCTGTGTTATATCCACATCCTGCTATGGGTTACATACTGCCCTGTAATAGGTCTCCAACTGTTTGATAGGCATCTATTTTGTTTCCCAGCTAGACTGAAGCTCTGTTGAAACATACTGGGTCTTCTACTTTCATCTTGCTCCTGGATCTATGCTCATATATATGCTCATATATACAATCATTGAACAAGCACTGCTATACAAAATAAAAAGAAAAGTAATATTAAGTAGGTACCACTTTCACAATTAAGTAAGATTTTCAATTCTTTGAACTTCTAAAAAGAGGATGAGGAGACCAATGGATCTCATATGGAATGGAGGATAAAGCATGAATTTCAGAGTGAGAGAGACATAGGTTTAAATCTTAGCTCTGCATCTTTACCAGTTAAATCAACTTAGGCAAATCACTTATGCTACTTATGCTTTCTGAACCTGAGTTTTTTCATATGTTAAATGGCAATAGTATTACTTACCTTTAAGATAATAGAAATAAAATCCTAAGTGCACAGCACCTTACACAAAGTTTGGCAATACCAGGGTTTAATAAATATGAACAGGATACATCATGTTTCCTACCATGCCACTCTCTCAACATACTCTGTAAGTTGGGTAATAAACCATTCTACTCCTCCTAGTGATTGATATAACTTGTATATTTTTAAATCACTCACTCTTACTCTACCACTTTTCAATAAATGCTACCAGAAGAAAATGGAATTTAAGAAAAGAGCAACCATAATAGCAAAAATATTATCAACTAAGGGATGTACATTAAGACAAACACTGAAATCAAACTATCAGATGACTTAATTCTGACCCTGACCCGTTTTATCAGCCCATTGTTTTGAGCTAGGTCCCAACTTCTTGGATTATTTCTAAGTCTCTGGATTACATAAAACAGCTTCAAAAAGCACTGTGCAGAATAACTATGATTACAATGTATGGTGCTGCATACGATTTACAAATACTCTTATCCAGCTGCCTTTGTCATTTTATTATGTAAAACACATATTCTTGATTTCCATCAAATTCTTCAAGAGCTACAAATAGCTCATTTACTCTTCTGGCCTCTATCAAAGAGCTAAGCCAACACCATGAGAATTACAGTTGTTAAAATTTTTATCTCAAAGTTCTTAAAATCCTGTCTTGTCTTAAAGTAAGGATTATCTGTCTCTAACAGACTTGGTAAGTGGTGGGGGGGAGTGAAGCAGGTGGCTCCTCTAAGCCAACATTATTTCCCGAGTGTACTAAGTGCCAGGCCAGGACTTGATCCTTGTCATCTAATCAAAGCAACACTCCAAAGGACAATACAGACAAAAATTAATTACAAGCATGATATAATGTAAGAAAAATCATTGGAGCTGCAGGTAATGTCTAAGACAAGAAGCTAACCAAGTCTGGGGTGGTCAGGAAAGCCTTCCTGAGGAAGCCATGCACTGGGGAGGGAGGAGTGGGAGTTAGCCAGGCAATGCAATCAGGGTGAGAAGGCATGTTTTTGGTAAGTGGAGATGAAAACAGACAAGAGAAAAGAGACGGAAATCCATGATTTGGCCCAATGAGAGAATAAATGGGATGGGGCAAGACACGGCGAAGGGCCTGGCAGAGGCCGAATCATGAAAGGCTTCTTTGATGATGTTAAATAAAGTGTGTGTATTTCCTACTGAGGACCAGCTAAGCCACAGGACTTTAAACAAGAGAGTGCCATGATCCGATTTACTTTTTTAAAAGGTCACTGGAGCTGCCTGATGGGGAATGGCTTGTAGGGGCAAGATTAGAAGCAGAAAAGGGAAGGAGGTGACTGGTGTCCAGGCAAGCAATCAAGTTAAACTGTAGGAAAAAAAAGTGAACCTATCCGTCTGGTTTTTTTCTGGATCACACAATTATTTGCGACCCTTGCATTCAATCCTCATTCATTCAAACATTTATTGTCTATTATCGCCAGGCATGTAATGGGCATCATGACTATAATGATGAACAAGATACAACATATTCCTTTTTCTCAGGGAATGCATAGGTTGGAAAGGGTATCAGGCAAGTAACCAAAAAAATTAAATTCAGAATGGTAAGAGAGTAGGATCCCAGAGTGCTATGGGGCCACACAGAAGTAGCCCGAATAACCCAGATGGGAAAATCAAGAAGGGCTCTGCAGATAAGGCATCTTTCTCAGCTGAACCTTAAAGGATGAGGAAGAGTTAGGCCAAATGAGAATGAAAGGATAAGGTGTAGGATAGTGTGACAACACTGTATGCAAGGTCCAGCAGTACAATTCCTGCCCCACTCAGCAATCTGAGTACTACTTCAAATGCACACAGGAGAGCACAGGAGAGCACAGGAGAGAAGTGACTAGTAAAGCAGCTCAGTAGCTTCCCTGGTGCAGAAGGGCTAGAGGAGATACTGGAAGCTATCCCTTCCAGATAATCTCCCTGAGAGCACTGTGAAGAATGGACTAGAAGGAGGTCAGACCAGGCCCATAGGTCTTTGTGCACATCTTTCCCCTCTGCCTAGAATGCTGTGCTCATTGGCAAACGCCTTCATCTTTCCAGGCCTAGCCAAGCCCTCCTTAACTCAAATAGGAGGAAGAGTTCACTCACATCCTTTCTGCCAAGTTTACACAAGCATACCGCCAGGAGCACTCGGCCCTGCAATTATTTATTAGACAGTTTTTCAGTCTCCTCACTTGATGATAAGCTTCTTGAAGGAAGGAAACAAGAGTCTTGTGCATCTACAGCAGAACTGGAATTCCATCAGATGTCTTCACTGCTGTGAAGGGCCTAGAACACTGCCTGACACATACTGGACTCAATATCTATTCAATCCAAAAAGGAAGAAAGGAATGTGACCTTTTAATTAGAGCTCCAGTTTTCCTCTTTGTAGTTCAGGATAATAATTTGGTCAGTAAAAACAAGGTCCAAATTAGTTTACATTAATCCTCAAAGAGAATCGGGGCCTACATTAACTAAAATGTCACATTTGAACATTTCAAGGATCAAGGAGATTTATACCAGTAGTAGTGCTACTTTAAATGCTAACCTCCAATTTTTTCCACTACAGCTTTGTGCTTCCTTTCTAAATGCTGAAGATGCCTACAGCATTTCTCCAGTTTTCTTTTCAGATCTTGACATTCCTGCTTTGCCTTTTCAAGTTCTTGGAAGCAGTGTCCACAGCATGAATCTTTAGTTTCAAGGATCTTTTTCTTATCTGCAAAAATTAAATGACAGCAAACTTTTATATCAGTTTAGATTAAGAACTAAAAAAGAAGGGAAGGAATAAAGGAACTAACAAAGGAACTAAGGAACGAAAGAAGGAAGGAAACCAGGGGACAAGACTAAAGAAAGGCAACAGTGCAACTGAAAAGAATGCGATGCTTAAGAGAGAGACCTGGGTTTAGATCTTCTTTATACTATTTATTGGCAGTGTGGCTCAGAGCATACTATGTAATGTGAGACCTCATTTTTTAACATGTAAAATTAAATAATACCATCTATTTTAAAAATTGCTAGGAAACAATGTTCAGCTCTTGGTATTGAATACCATTCCTCACTAAAAGGAACCACGAATCTTCAAGAAACGCCTAGCTCCAGTACTGGGACAGGGGTATATACAAGATGAATGCCAGAAAGAAATTCCTGAAAAATACAGGAATGTCACAAGGAAAAAGGAGCCAGTTTGAAAGGGCTCCAGTAGCTGAATATGGGGCAATCTGAACATTAAGTATACTACTGAAGTATAAAATATTCAAAAAAAATCCATGAGCCATACCAATAATGAGATAGATGGATAGATAGGTAAGTAGGTGAAGTTGATAGGTAAGTAGGTAGATGAACTGATGGACACATTGATAAATAAACAAAAAGACAGACCAATAAATAAGTACACAAACTAAGAGGAGGGTTCACGATTATAGCAACATTTCAAGTGCCAACTAGTAAAAGTGGAGGGAAGTCTAGAGCCAGAAAAATTGTAATATTGCAACCACCACAGTGAAGACTGAATCAGACAAGCATCATCAATGATTGCTAAAAAGAAGGGAAATATTTAATAAGAAGGACATTTTCATGGTCTTAGAAGTGTCTCCCCACAGATTACTTATTAGTTGTGAGGTGGGAGGAACCCATTTAAGAAAATGGACCACACTGTGACCAGGTGTTCAAATGAACGTCACCAGTAAGACAAATGGGCACTGTGCACCTCCGCATGTGATAAGACATCACCCATGCAGCGTTCCAGGCAAGGAAACACAGCTTGAATCTAACTGTGAAGAAACATCAGACAAACTCAAAATGAGGAAAGTTCTTCCAAAAGCCGGAGGTGGGGGTGGGGCAGTGGGGAATAAGTCTTTCAAAAACGTCAATGTCATAAAAGTCAAAAAGAGACTGTGGAAATATTCTAGACTAAAGGAGACTAAAGAAAGACGACATCTAAAGGTAGTACCTGACCCTGGACAGATTCCTGTACTGCAGGGGGAAAAATAATGAAAGACATTATTGCATCAGTTGACAAAATTAGAATCCAAACAGGTCGATACAATATTTATCAAATGCTTAATTTACTATACTAAGGTATAAAAGAAAAAAATTCCTATTTTTTGAAAATACACACTGAAGTATTTAGGGTTAAAAGGGCACAATGAATATAACATCCTCAAATGGTTCAGGAGAGGAAATGAAATGTTCACATACACATAAGCACAGAAAAACATAAAATTGTATACAACATTATTAACAAATGTGTCTAGGTAAAGGATAGATGAGTGCTACTTGTAACTATTTTTACTTTTGTAACTTTTCTGTAAGTTTAAAATTGTCTCCAAATGAAAAAAAATATTTAAAACTATCAAGAGGTACAAATGCATAAAAGTTGTGTGGCACAGTACCTGGCAGAGAATAGCATACAGTATGTAACAGCTATTGCTATTAGTAATATACAGAATTTGTAAAATTTAAATTATATGCAAAAATAGATTATTACTATTAACATAATTGATATAATAAAGTAGGAACACAAACTGGCATAGATCAAAAGCCCATACCCAAAAACTTAATGTAAAATCATTGGTTCAGCAAAATTATTCTTAGCTCTTTCCTGACTTTAGTTTCCTTTGAATGGTGCCATTTATGTCCATGAGCATCAAAGAATTAATGAAGCATCACACTGGTATCATACACAGCCATTTATATTTTTCATTTAAGATACTGTGGTAAAACTAGAAACCAGGCAAATGCCCACTAACAAGAGACTAAACTATAGTATATTCATGGAATGGACTAGTACACAGCAACTAGAACTACATGTGTTAACATAGACAAATACCAGAAGCTGGCTGGTAAGTGGGGAAAAGCAGGTTACAAAGACTACAATGAATATTAAATCATTTTTAAAATGTTAGAAGACAAAACAATAGCTTTTGCAGGATACCTGTATTTGGTCAAAATACAAAGAAAATCAAGAGAATAGTTTTTAAAAATCAGAACATTTGTTACCCTGGATTGTAAGGAAGTTACAGGGATGGAACTGTGGTCAAACACAGAGGGGTCTTCAACAGTACTGGTGACGCTCTAGTTCTTAAGTCAAAGAATGGGCTCCTGGTTGGTAGGCTTCCAAACTTACATGTCCATCACATATTTTCTTTGCATGTACCAAGTATTTCATAACATCTAACTTACTTTAAAAAATGATAAGATATTAGGAGACTATAATCAAATGGTTAACAATGGTACTCTCTGGTGGTAATATTATAAAGGACTAGAGCACTTAATAAATATTTTGGATTATTTAGTCTTTTCTAATGAATTGGTTAATGTGTTTGGTTTTAGGGAAAAAAGACTAAAGAAAGAAAAATTTTTTTGTTGTTTGTTTTGTCTTAAGTAAAAACAAATTCCTTTCATATTGATAGGGCTTCCCAAAGCCAAATAATATGTAAAACTTGTTGCTACCCATTTCATAAATTACAAAAAAAAAAAAAAAAAAAACCAGATCTACAATGACACTGAAAAGTAAGAAACAAAATACAAATTAAGGTAGTATTCCCATATACCTAATGAACAATAAGATCCTCTCAGCTACTCAGAATCTAGGAGTTAGGAAAAAGGGCTTATGGATGGTCAGGAAAATAACGGTCAACCTACTTCTTAGGGAAGGCAGAGGCTCTCGAAAGTTCTGATAACATTACTTACGAAATTAGAAACGGCGGCAACTAAGGTTATTAGCCTGGCACACAGGAGTTATTCTGGAAATTCACAGTTCTTTTCCAGGTTGCAATAGAGGCAGCAGGTAACAAACAGAAAGAGTGGGTACGTGTGTGTTTGTGGAGGGCAGAAGCGATCTGTGAGAGATCTGTATTTTGAAAAGGAGTAGCACTAATAAAGGCTATGGCAGTTCCTAGATGAGAATTCTCAGTGATTAGGCAACATAAGCCCAATCAATATTCCTCAGTGAGGTCTGAGTATGCCAAGGAGCTTCAGGACAATACAGTAATTCTTTTTCATAATGACAACTGTAAGTCATTATGGAAACATTAAGCTATTAATTTACCAAGTATTCAAGGACACAGTCACTCGTGTATTGGCGAGGAAAAGATGAAACACTGCTCCAGCTCTCAAGAAACTCACAAACCAGGAAATACCTCTTCAGAAAGATTTCCATTAAAAAATGGTTGAAATAAGCTTCAATAATGTGAACAAAAAGGTCCCAGTTATTTGGCAATTCTTTTATATGAAACCCACGATTTCCCAATAAAGCCAGGGAATAAAAACATGACTGTTCTATTAAAATTCTCATTCTTCTCCTTATAATAAGAACTACTTATGAATGGCAGGAAGACCATGAAAAAAATAGAATTAAGAGGGTCTAAAGCATCCCCGTCTCCTAAATGCAAAATGAAATCCAGGGAGAAGACACAGATTAGGTAGGAGTAATATTACCTACCACTTGTTCACTCATAAAAGCTGCATGCATCTTTGACTTCCTTTTACCCTCAAAGCAACCCTCTGCAACTGTATGAATGTAACAAAGACCAGTAGGAATAAAATCCCCATTACCAGCTTCTGCTTCTGTTTTTTGCAAGGCCACGGCCTGAGCACAGCATCCAAAAGTAGATGCAGGAAGGACTGCCAGGACTCTGGGGTCTCCTCTACCAGTGACCTCTGTGGCAGGATCCTTAGAGATCTTGGCCATATTTCTCTGAAAGAGAGTATCTTCACAGTTAATGCATGTAAAAATCTTTACACAATTCTCTATTTAAAATGCTCATATTAAAAACATAAAAAGAAAACACTGCCTGAAAAAAATCTTGCTTAAACCATCACCAGTATTTTTGTTAGGGTGTTTCAGGAATACTGTCATTACTATGAACTAGTCTACCATGACCATAATTTTCAAATTAGAACATTATCTGACAGAAGTCTGGTGGGCCAACTATGAGACAGATAGGAGATACAGTTTGCACACATATATACGAATTTAAGATATTTTAATGGTTTATGTGGTCAAATCACAATTGTTCTTAGAAATCTAGAATATTAAAAAAAAAAAAGAAATCTAGAATATTTTCACTGCAGCAGAGGTCAAACTCAAACTATATCAAACTTTTGTCTCCCACAAATTTAAAGTTTCATTTATATAGTATGTTACATTTCTAAATACTTTAATATTTACTGTCAACTTAGAAGGAAGTTCTGTTGAATTCCAAAGTTAGAGAAACTGAAGCTAACCTAAACATTTTGCACAAAACTATTTCTTCACTAACATTTATTGAACACTTTTGGTGTTCTAGTCCCTGTCATGGCAATACAGCTACTAAAACCATTAATGGTGAAACATTGTTTTAAGGCAGTGTTTTCAGATTCTAGATGACTACTAAATCCCAAAGGAACAGAACAGGTGATCTTGAAAAAGCTACCTTGTTTAATTACTTAAAACTGACATATCAGCTTGATTCTAGAAGCCTTGGTTTTGATTATAAGAAACCCATTTAACCGGCTGTTGGAAAACCTACTTACAATGTGCATCAGAAGCAGATGTCAGCAGTTACATAGAAAATGCAAACTCTAGGCAATCAAGGGGATATGAGGCAGAGGCCAAAAGGAGTAATGAAAGTTTAACAGTAAGGTAGCCAATGTTTCCAGATTTTACTTAAAAATGGAGAAAAGCCAAGATGACAAAAATAGCAGAAGCAGCAACTTTCTTGTCTTAGTTTTAACTTGATATTGTTGGTAAGGAAAGACACAACAAGCATCCTTAAATTTGTTCGAAAATTCTGTTCCAATTGATATTTTTGCTTTTTTCGTTTTTTTTTTTTTTTCCCCCATCATGGCCAGTTGTATTAATGTACTCCAATAAGGCATTAATTTTCTTGGAAACTTCATTTTTTAACTGACTGCATCCTGTCCATTTTAAAAAACTTTTGATCATCTAAGTTATTTTAAACAAGGACTTGTTTTTTTATATGTACTGATTATTTTTTCCTGGTTTAATTTTCACAAACAGTTCTAAAAATGACAAATTTAATAAACTATGATTCATATTTCTTCATATTAATAGCACTTATACTGCAAACTTACAATCACTGGTTACAATCATTGCTTTACCTTAAGGTCCTGAGCTGGGATAGATCTCGAACAGCAGACAATCAAGTATTCTTCTATGACAAATGCCAGAGGAGGCATTTCAAAGCCCCCTTTTTTTCAGGAATAGAATCTGATCCCACCCAACAAAAGCCACAAAAGTCTAAGTTCTTAACCAAATTACATGATTCTGTCTCCACAGGCATGTGAGCAACATTAAGTCATCCAAATGATCTTAACACTGCTAGCACAATCAGAAACCCTATACAGAGACCCCAGAATTGAGTGTATATTGATAGAAGAAAGGTGTTATATTTTCCTGATCTTTGTAGCAGAGATTGCCTTTTCAGGAAAGTAAACGAGAAAGCATGTAACAAGATTTTCCCATCTCTACTCACCCTTAACACTCGCTCTAAGTAATTCTTAGTTATTTTTCCAAAATTTTCAATTAAGTATTACAAGTATTATTCATGGGAAGTGATCTTGCCTAGTTATTTTTACATTGAAAACAACTCTTAACTGGTTGCTTTCACATCTCTGCGAAATCAGAATAATAGTATCAACTGGGGTGAACTGGGATGGAGTAAACTGATCTTTCAGGTAACTTTTGGGGATAAAATTCTGTACTATCTCAAACACAAGAGGCAGAAAGTCCAAGCCGTGTCATTTATACCCTACAAAACCCAAGGAATTAGACCAGAGATTTATACTTTCTTTTTCAGATAAGCAGTTACGCAGGTAGTTACACAGGTGATTACACTGGCAGTTACCAGTTACGCAGGTAACAGAGTAGTTATCCTCAAGTGTAGGACTGGAACTCGGATTTTTTTTCCCAGCTTGTAACTTTCCAGTAAGTATTACTATCAAATGTTCAATCCTGCCTTGAAAATCATTAATCATGGTATCTTAATGAAACTTAACTCTTAGGTCTGTTCTCAAAACTTATAGTATCGGCATTTTTTTCTACCTCTAATTCCAAATGTTGAAATTGGCTACATATCATTCTAGACTTTTCATGCATATCTCCTTTAATCATCAGATCTTTCACCAAAACTAAAAGCTAGTTATCAGAGACTACTTAGACAACTAAAAGAATATCATTAACTCATTCTACATGCACAGATATAGTAGAGCAACAAAACTGGGCTTCAGAGTTTTGTATGAGTGAGCCATACTTCTAACTGCTTGTTCTACAACATTTTTTGTACTCGGTTGGCATTTTTTTGCCTTTGTGACATAAATTCCTTGAGGGCAAGAAATAGGCTTCCAAACTCTTTAGACGCTCTTAAGAAACCCTAGTTTAATATGATGCATATTTCTTGAAGTGGTCATGCCCAAGAAACAAAAATAGGAATGAGAGTTAATTCAGTTTCTCAAAGCTCAGGCCCTTACAAAGAACAGCATATATTTTTTAGGAAAAAGAGGTCTACAGCCTAAAAGCTCTGCCTCATATTTGTGGCACCACGAAGAAGCAAAGCTTTTTGGCAAAAAGAAATGAAATCCTCTGGATTCACTACAAAAAGTTGTTAAGCCACTGCTAAAAACTCAAGTTTCATGTCTACTAAACTGTAAAATGAAGAAAGGAAAAAAGACCATATTCAACTTCTACAATCATCTTTGATATTTATTAATAGTGCTTTTCATTTATCAGGAACATACCTTTTCCCACTCGGAGTTGGCATTTTCGATAGCTAGGGAGAGGAGATCTCGAAAAGCTTTCTGTATGCAGGCCTTTAGTTTTTCAAAATATTGGGCAGACACCCATTTTGAAGAACAAGTTGACACGAGTTCCAAGAGTTGCTTGTTCTCTGAATCACTGACATGTTCCTTTTGGGTGTCCTTCAGGAGAAATTCAAGTACAGTGAGGATGTCTTCCTCATACTGATAGATTTCCAGTTGGATCCTCCTGGCTTCCTGCGCTGCCCATTCCCTACGACTCTGGTCTAGACATGTTTGCAATTCTGTCTCCTTCTGAAGAAGTAGTTCAGTTTTCTGTTTCACAAAGTCTTCTTTGGCTGCTGCAAGCACCTCATTAATTTTATTTCGATGATCATCTAAAAATTGCCGGTAATCTTGTTCATTTTGTTCTTGAATTTTGTGGATTTCTTCTTGCTTTTCTTTGTTCCATTCACTCCGGGCCTTCGCCAGCTCAGCCCTGACAACCACAGGGACTTCCTCATTCTTTAACTCAAGCTCCCTCTGGAGAGAATGAATCTTCTCTTCCAATTCTTTTCCAGGTATTCCACTTTTTTTCATATTTTCAAGCTCGTTTTTCCATTTCTCTTTAGCTTCAGAAATAGCAAATGATACCTAAAAGACATAACAATACACATTTAAAATTCTTTGTGATCTCATTAATTAAAAAATTACAGTAACTTTTGGGATAACACATTGTTCCTAAAATAAACCTATATACTATAACCAAAGATCCCTTCCTTATTTTTTTTTAAAGACTTAATTTATTTATTTGAGAGAGAATGAGCAGGGGGAGGAAGAGAGGGAAAAGCAGAAGCAGACTCCCCGCTGATCAGGGACCCCCCCCCCCCAATGCGGAGCTCCATCCCAGGACCCAGGATCATGACCCAAGCCCAAGGCAGACGCTTAAGCGACTGAACCACCTAGGTGCCCCCCTTCATTTTAAATGACCTAATATTTTTGTCTTATGCGATCTTAAAAACACCAGTTTCTTGAAGGAGAACTAGAAATTTAAACTGACCCCAAATATATGTAATTATACAATTACCCAAAATTAACTTCTGAAAAAAATTCCTATTAGTCTTATACAAATGTAGCCTCAAATTTTACCTATGTCCATGGCAAATATCTTCTCACATAAAGCAAAAGCAGCCTCATGAAGAAATCTATAGCACATACCTGCATAACTTGCAGACAAATATAACTGTATTTTAACGGAAGCACAGTGGTTAGCAGAGTTCATTAAACGACAATACCAGACAGAAAAAGTAATTTTACTCATTAATCTAATTTTCTGAAAGAATAAGAAGAGTAGCAGATCACAGACAGTAGTAGTACATAACCAAGAAGTCCTAGGGAACCAAAAAACCAAAGCTTGGCTCTAAACCCACCTCTGGCTGCCGAGAGCTGCCTAGCACAGTGCTTAACAGGACAGGCTCTGGGGACACACTACGTAGGAAACTGACCAGCCATGGGATCAAGGGCCCCATCCTCAATTTCCTTGAGCCTTAGGGTCCTCAACTATAAAATGGGGACCATTACAATGCTTACCTGATAGAATTTTGTTAGGAATAAATGGCAAAGAAAAAAATCCATTTAAAGCCTTTAGTCTAGAACCTGGCAGATAAGGACTTAATAAATGTTATGTCGTTCTTACTTTTGGCTGCATGGCCTTAGAAAAGTCACTTAATCTATTTTGTATATAATATGAGATTGTGCAGATCAGATAATGACCTTGAGTCTCTTTTATAAATTCAAAAATGTCAAAAGCATATGTGTTAAAGCAAGCATTTCCAAAAGCTTGGCCTGGACAGTGGTGATTGCTCGTAATCAATACTATCTATATGTATGCTCTGGCTGTTGAAATAGGGTTATTTCCTAAATTTTCAGGTATTATATAATCTTAGCAAACATCTTCAACTAAAAAATTCTTAAACATGTTATACACCTTTATTCAACGATGTATTCCTGAAGAGTTGCACATAAATCAAAATTTTTGAATTGTATTTTAAATTTTCTAAGGGAACCCGCCATCTAAGATGAGCTTTACAAAAGAATGCACAGCAAAATTCTTTTGCTACCAGCCGGATAATTCAGTAGTGATGTGAAACATGTTTAAAGAGTGCTGTTAGGGAAAACAGGATTGTCACCGTGGATACCTGAAAATCATTACCAGGTGACTTGGTGGAGGTGGAAGATCCCACAGAATTTGGATGACCTGTTGACCTCATCAAAAGTGTGTATCCTATCACATGAAGTGGTGCAAAGCAAATTTGACAGCATTAAGCAACTCAGGGGTTTCCTGATAGTTGCTGCACATTACATCACCTGAAAAGCCTTTAAAAATCCTAATATCCAGGCCACACCCTGTACCATTAAAACATTTAGCCTGGGGGATGGGAGCCTGGCAACAGTATTTTTTAAAAGATCCTCTTCACTTTGACATTCAGAGCACTGGGCAGAAATCACATTGCGTCAACACCCACCGTGGGCCTTCACGATGCTTTGTTTCAAGTTTTTCTAATGTGCAGCTAAAGTTTAGGAACCACTGAACCACCTTGACTCTGGTCAAAGTTGGACTCTGGACAAACTGGCTTTAAATTTTTACAGATCTTGAAGGATCACTCTAACCTTATAGGAACCCTCCAGCCTGTGCTATGAAACTGGCCCTTGCTCACCTTCTTTGGTTTGGAGGAAGGATCCACAAGACGCTAACATTATGTTTTGTGGCTCAATAATTATTTAGAATAGTGCTACTTACACCTGAGTGGCTCTAAAAACTTGCAGTGTTACATCACCTAGGAGTCTGTTAGACACACAAATTCTCAGGATTCTCTTAGGCCCACCGTTTCAGAATCTCTAGGAAAAAAGCCCAGGAAATCTGCTCTAACAAACCCTCCAGGGGGATCTCATGCCAGCTAAAGTTTGAGAATTAACACACCGTCCTCTGATTTCTACATGTCTGCATTCACATATATCCGAGTCTTTTGGTTCTTAAGGAAAGATCTCTTGACTACTTTATTTTCTATATTCTACCCAACTTTATAATTCTTGACTTCAGAGCTCTGAAACACATGCACGTCATCACATTATTTCCCTTTTCTCTTCCTCTTAAATTTCCTTTTGAAATATGTCAGCTTACTAAAAAGTATAGAGAATAATGCAATGAGCACCAGTGTGTACTATCATGTAACTTAAGAAGAATGTTAAAAGTTTATTCATGCTGAATTATTTCCCTAAGTAATCTGTGGAATAAGATTATAAATATGACATATGAATAATTCACAATGTCTGTTGCACATATTATTTTCCAAAATGGTTGTAATATTGGGAGAACAGTATGTACTTAACACTGCAATGTATTTTTTTTTTGTATTATAATTAAGAAGAGAGAATTTACATATGTGGCATAAAATCGTACCCTAAGTTTGTTATTTGGACTTCTCATGAAGATTGTATGTCCATTTTCTGCTGTACTTATCCACAGATTCTTGTTTTTCTCATAAATTTGTATTGTTTTTATCATGTATTAGTATTAACATTTCTCAGGTTTAAGATTATTTATTTATTTGACAGAGAGAGAGAGAGAGAGAGAGAGAGAGAGAAAGGGAGCGCGCAAGCACAAGCAGACAGAGTGGTAGGCCAAGGGAGAGGGAGTAGCAGACTTCTTGCTGAGCAGGGAGCCCAATGTGGGGTCCTGATTTCAGGACTCTCAGATCATGACCTGAGCCAAAGGCAGACACTCAACTGACTGAGCCACCCAGGTGCCCCATCGTTTCTCATGTTTAATTCATTCATTTTCCTTTTTATTATCCTGTCACTTTTTTTAATTATAAAAGCAAAAATGTTTTAAATGTTTGTACCTATTTTATCTACTTACTTTATCTATCTTTGCTACTATGTCTGTTGTCCCAAAATTGAGTTATTATGGTAAAAATCTAAAATATCCCTTTTTTTCCCCTATGTGCTTATTTAAAAATGTTTAACTTTTCTTTCTTTTTTTTTTTTTGGTGTGGGCAGTAAAGCAAAACCTATTGATAGTAAAGTTTATTGACTGATAGTACAAAGCTCCTGGAGAGAGACCTGAGAGGGTTGCCCTAAAAATGTTTAACTTCTTAATCAATTTAGACTTTATTGTGATGCATGCTTGGGTAACCTTAATTTTTCCAAATTGCTCTCTGGCTATCATAAGAGTATTTATTATGGAATAATTCCTTATCCCCTTGTTTTGAAACAATTAAGCTTTTATTCACAGTTGGTCCTATCTCTGAAGTATGTATAATACAAAACAAAAAAGAATTCTCTTTTTGTGACTCAACACTGAATTGTCATTTTCCAACATATTCTATTATGTGTTAGGGCTGGACTACTGTTTCTTTTCCAGAACATTTAAAAAATTTCTAGTCTTTTCCAAGTAAATTTTAGTATCATTGTGTCAAATTTCAAAACCATGTTCAGTTTATTGTCATTTTGATTAGAATTGGTTTACTCTAATAAATTGGGAGAATGCAAAATGATTTTGTTTCTGGTCAAACATGACGTATCCAGAAAGGAGTGTTGGCTATTTTCCAAGACTATAAGACTACTGAGTGAGCACAGAGAACAAACCATGTGAAAGGATACTGCGCAACTATTAATAAACAGATCAATACCTGCTCCGAATTTCTCCTAATGATAGGGCAAGATCAAATGGGATTCAGTTTCACAGTTAAGGTTACCTTCCTGACTATGAGAGTTTCAGGACCCTAAAATATATTCTTTCTCCCTCAATATCTTGATGATGATAACAGACATCATCAGCCAGGCTCTGAGCTAATGTTCAACATGGATGATTATACTTAATCCTTCCATAACCATCTGAGCAGAAACAAATTCCCGGGACAAAGCTGGGAGGTCAGGAGAGAGGCCATTGTGAAGCATCTATCAAGGAGAGCGCTTACCCGTCTGGCCACAGTGATGTCTTGTTCTTCTTCCCATTTCTTCTGTTCTGCTCTGACACGTGCTTTATACTCTGCAAGGTCAGGCATTTCTTCCAGCCATCGATGACGAGCATTTTGTACAGCTGTTTCCACCTGCAATTGGATATTGCAAGAGAAAGAGGTAAAGTGAGGTATTAACCTTCAGAAAGAGCCCATTTGCAAATAGCTACTACAATTTCATGTGTATTTCACACTGTACTGCACTACATTAGTTACAGTGACTTCTAGTACTCCACCTTATCCCCAACAGTAGATTCTCATCCTTCTGTTCAAAACTTCCCACACTGCCCCCATGCGAATGCCACCACAACAAGCAGGAATCTATAAATGTTCGACGGTCAATACTACTATTGGAAAGCTTCATACAAAGTATCAACGCCATTTCCAAAAAACTCCTATTTCTCTTGAGAAAAAGGAGAAGACATGCAGGAATGCTACTTGAGGTCAGCTGCTGTCTAGTAGCACACCAACCATATCCACAGTCCTCCCGCCTTACATATAAACACATTAACACATGCCAGCACACACCGATATTTTTTATAGCTTTGTCCCAGAGCAAGTTTTCCTGTCTATTGTTGAGTTTGCAACTAAAGAATGAAGGTGATGCATTGATTCAGGCAAAAATGTAAGACCTGATGAATTATGAGGGCTACATGGTTGTAAATCTGTCACAGGTTACCACAAGATAATTTATTAAGTACTCTTCCCTTATTTTGAAATACACACAGACACACATATACCTACATCCATACAAACCTACAGAAACCAAGCTGACATAAGGGGCTGAACTGTTTTTGCAAAATGCTAAATATATTTACAGGTAAATTCCAGGGAGTTAAAAATATGGGGAAAAGATAAAGCTCCTATGGAAATTTATATTCCTTAAAAAGTTATTATGAATACTTCCTTTCTACTACATCATGTTATTTATTTTTCTTCACAAGATCTGTGATTAGATATACACCAGAGCAGTATCCTTAAACATATCTCTTTGTCTGTAGAACATTTTCTTAACTCTGTTCAAACCTTAAACATTTCAGGAAATTATTTAACTGACAGAAGATGCCCTTGATACCATTATATATATTTGCCTATGTTTCCATTCCATAAGGATTCCCTCTAAAATCACACAGAACAATTTAACAAAGAGGCAGAATGCCAAGTTTTTATCAAAAGTGGAATATACCTTTTTAACATATTACTTCAGGTATTATTTTAAGAGTTTTTTAATAAGTGATAGGTCTAAAATAGTAAATACAAAATAAGAATGTTATATTAAGGTCCAGGAACCTCTGAGGCACTAAATATCCTGTCAGGTGCTCTGTGAGGTCAAGACTATTTTCAAAATAATATTCAGACCTTTGCTTTTTTCACTCCCACTCATTCATGTGTGGACAACACAATGCTCCAGAGGCTACATGCTATATGGCATCTCATTGCTCTGACAGCCAATGGCAAGCATGCTTCAGTATTCTTTTTTAAAAATTTCTCGAAGTTATTTTCCAATACAATAAAAAGATATAACACACACAGAGAAAAGCTCTTTAGGGTCTTACATTTTTTGAAAGTGTAAAGGCATCCTGAAACCAAAAAATCACTATAATAATACAGATTAAAAAATATTAACTCTTTATTCCATTTATACAGAGCTATACTTTTCTCAGTATGACACTTTTGGAAACCAAGTAACATGACCCAGTTAAATGGGAGCTAGTTTTCTGAGTGCTTGGTCCAAGGGGAGGCAATGGCACCACTTTCTGGCAGGATATGGGATTGACAAACAATGTCCCATTTGAGGGGCATCCCATTCAACTCTGCAAGTCTCAATGTAAATACTGTTAAATATCTTACTTGCTTTAAGTTTGTTTTTCTATAACTACTTCAGTGGAGTATTTTCTGTAAAGTTAGATATGAAAGATACATAGTGAAATTGTGCTTCATTCAGCTGTAAAACCACCTTTAACCTTGATCATCCTAATGCTAGATTGAAAAAGGAGCAAATATTCTGAAAATTTAAAGAATACACAGAAAAACCAAGGGAGTAAAAGCTTTGTGACAGAAATATAATGAAGAAAATTTTAGCGACAACATAAGAGGTTCTCTACCCTAGAATGCATAAAATTTTTTAAAATATAAAGTTTTGAGGGCGCCTGGGTGTCTCAGTCTGTTAAGCGGTTGCTTTCGGCTCAGGTCATGATCCCAGGGTCCTGGAATCAAGCCCTGTGTCGGGTTCCTTGTTGGCAAGGAGCCTGCTTCTCCCTCTCCCTCTGCCTGCCTGTAGCCCCCCCAGCTTGTGTTCTCTCTATCTGTGTCAAAAAAAAATAAAGTCTTAAAAAAAATATATATAAAGTTACAAACAAGTTCAATGGTACCATTTTACAGGTTTTCATTAATAGGCAGTTCCAATAATTTTGTAATAATAAAGCATTAATATTACCTGTTTGGCAATATTTTCACAGTATTTGAGTTCTAATTCAACCTCAAGTTTTTTCAAACCCCCATTGATAGCTGTCTCCTTCTCTTGTTCTAAATCTTGCCGCATCTTCTGCGTTTGTTCTTCTAGCATGATTGCCATCTCTTTCTTGGAAATAACATCCATGGCAGTAACTTGGTCAGTTTGGCTGCAACAATCTGAAGTCTTCTTTTTCAGGGCCTTTATGGTTTGATCCAGCTTAGACTGCCACTCCTTTTCAAGCTGTTGAATAAGTTCTTGTTTGATCTGTTTTCAGAAGAAAAATCATACAAAAAAATACTCAAATAAGCAAAAACTAGAATAGCTAGCCAAAAGAACCACAGCTGTGTTTGAAAACCATCTAGACATTGTTGTAGTAATTACATGAGATTTAGAAACTTAGTTGATGAAAATACATTCTCAAGTAAATCCTGAAAGTTACTGTGTATATACATGACATAAATCACATGGAGGATTTAAGTGTACTGCATAAGGTCAGGCTATCTTGCTCTCAAGATGCAACCTTCTGGAAGCTTTGACACTGCCACTACAAAAATGACATGATTCTTTTTTTTTTAAAGAAGAAAACTTCTATTAATATGTGGTTTTTTTCCCCATCAACACCAGGCTTTCCATAAAGCAGGGACTGAGTTAAATCTAATCAACCTAAAACTGAAAAATCTAAAAACAGTTCTATTTACTTAAACAGATTAGAATCTTGTTTGTTATGATACTACGCTCTAGTGTTAGAGTTAACTGTAAATTCAAGAAGGGGGGGCATAGTAGAAGAATGTTTTGTTGTTGTTGTTGTTGTTGTTAACTTTATTTTTTTCAGTGTTCCAAGATTGTTTATGCACCACACTCAGTGCTCCATGCAATACGTGCCCTCCTTAATACGCACCACCAGGCCATGCCACCCCCCCCACCCCTCCGACTAAAACCCTCAGTTTGTTTCTCAGAGTCCACAGTCTCTCACGGTTTGTTTCCCCCGATTCCCCCAACTCGCTTCTCCTCTCCATCTCCCACTGTCCTCCGTGTTATTCCCTGTGCACCACAAGTAAGTCAGAAGAATGTTTTAATGATAACTTTCTACTTCCAACAAAATGCTAGGATGCATCCAAACACAGTCTTAGGCAAAAATGTGATACAGCAGAACTTGCTTTTTCTTTTTCCTGTTTTCTACTTTCTGGGTATCCAGTTCTCAAACTACTTCCCTGGCTACCACATTCCCAGGTCGCATTGGTTCATTTGAAATGGCAACCTGTGTAAGGGTTTATGCTTTCCTGACAGTCTCCCAAAAACACTAGATATCTCATCCTTCTTGTAAAAACTGGTGAGCAAATTCAATGAAAAACAATGTGCAACAATGTAAAAATAGGGAATTTGTTTTGTGCTACCCAGATTTTATACATGTAAATACATACAACATATATATTTTGAATATATATTTTTATATTAAAACATGACGAGTAAAAGAATTTCAGGTGTCAGCACTAGACTAATGAATTGTTCTTGGGGATGTGGAAAGCAGGAAAGGCCAAAAGAAAGAACAGTGGTCTACTAGTCCACCTTGAGGTGGCCAACTCCAATTAATAGCGATCTTGTGCTTAAAAGAATCTAGTTTCAATAAGCATGAAAATTTATTTCATTTCTAAGTTTTCTAGATCATAAACTGATTCTAAATTTTGTAGAAAACTACTAGCAATCTCATTTGCTACTTAGGTAAGAAAGGTAATGTTTTGTGCTTCTGAGCCTGTCTAGTCATTACTTCTTTCTTCTAATCTACAATATAGGGTATTTATTTCTTATAATAGACTGTTCTAGAGTTATCCGAACCATTCCCCAATATGAAATTAGATGTGGATTTCATTTTGAGGAATCAAAAAAGTGCTCTTCCAAAAACCATTATATCCTGAATTAGGTTGAAGAGTTGGAGGGGAGGGGGAAGTTTAAAAAAAATAAAAGCTTACTAGTGTAAGCTGCCAATAGCCCAATTCTGAGACATGAAATAAATGATTATGTATGTACTTGGCAATTAAAAAATTGTGTTCAGGAAGAACTGTTCTCTACAATTCTCTACAGTTAATACTACCTTTTTTAAACATGGTGACTAGAAAGAAATTTTAACCCACACCTCTTTCTGCTCCTCATCCCAGTGTGATTTGGCTAACATCACTTCATTTTCAACCTGTTGCTTAATATCAGTTTCTTGTTCTTTCAGCCACTTGTTCTTTTCCATCATTAGGGTATCTTGGTACTTTTCTTCAAGTTCCACCTGCAGTTTGCTTACATATTCTTCTCTTTCCTCCAATAGCTGTCTCTTTAAACAAAATTCAAGTAAATATCTCTGTATAACACTAATACTGTTCAAGTCAAATATATAAAATAATGGTTACATGCATGTAATAGCAACAGAGACAAATGATCTTCCTACATGCTAACTCTATCAGCTTAGTAAACTGTCTTGTGAAGACCTTAGATCTCAAATATTGGATAAAAAAAATTTTTTCATGGCTATATCAAAAGAAAAAGCATCTAGCTATTCAATAAATAAATTCCCAGAACACCAACTTTTTAAAAAGTGAAACTGACATTTACATTTACACCCATCATGGGACCCATTAGATATTATAGCCCAGAAAAAAAATGTGTACTTCTCAAAGACTTATATTCCAATGCAAGTCAAAAATTATTGCTCTATCTTAAAAGTTACACATCCTGTAATAAATTCAGATTGGTATTTTTTTTTTCACTCCAAAGACAAAATTTTTTATCACAACCAGCTGAAGCATTATCAAATAGTAACTGTCAAGGGCCAGATAAAGTCTAATAATTTAAGTATTACTATAACATTCTCTACTTACTCTAGGAATCCAGCTGATCGAAAAACTCTAATAAAGATTTACTCGGGGATCGAAATGACCTTTAACAGTTTTGTTTTGGAAATTTTTAGAAATGGTTCTCTGGACATTCCACTGAGATGCCACTGAAGCCCACAGAATGTCATGCCTGAGAAGTGTACATGTGGCCATCCCTACTGCCAAGCAGCAACAGAGCTCGGGCTCGGTGTCTCTTTACCATTAGTTCCGATTTAGGACTACCTGGTTGTCTGGGTTTTTTTCTGGTTCACACCTGACCTGGCTTATTTTGGTCTGAATTGCCGTCTGATTCCTTTCCACCAATGGCAGGTGCCAAAAAGATACCACCTAGTTTTGCTCAGTGTTGCATGGTTGCATGGTTTCGGAAATTCTGTGGTAACTAAAGGACCCATTTCCTCACACTCAAGTCATGGAAACTACAGTTGTACTAACACTATAGGACAGTCTCCATCACATGGCTGAGAAAGTTGTCCAGGCTCATATCACATATCACTGTTCTTTTTTGTTGACTTTAGGAAGAATCCTCAAATTATCTTACTTGTGTACATCTATCCTTCAGGAGTTGTTTCCATATGTATCTACATTTCCTTTTGACTCAGCAGAAAACTGCTAGCAATTTTCTGTGTATTTGTATGTTTGTGTATAGATCAGCTTTGCTACATAGTAAGCCAGCCAAAATTTAACAAAATTAAACTAAAATAGCAAACATCCATTATTTCTCATGATTCTCTGGGTCAGCTGGGTGGTAGTTCTGACCTAAGTCAATGCAGCTGATCTCTGCAGGCAGTTGAGGTTATATGGTCTAAGACGGCCTCACTCACATGTCTGGGTGTTAGCTTAATGTCTGGCCAGAAGGATGATGTGGTCACATGGGTCATCACCCAGCAGGTTATCCCAGTTCATTCACATGGTGGTGGTCACAGTGTTCCTCAGAGCGTCAAGCTTGTAAGCTCCAATGCACAAATGCTTTTTAAGGTTCTTTTTGCGTATACTAATGTCCCATTGCCCAAAGTAAGTCATGCAGCCAAGATCAGATTCAAGGGATGACAAATAGACCACTTCTTACTGAGAATAGCCACAAAGTCACACTACAATACTATAGCATGCATTCACTGATGGGAAGAACATGTGGCCATTTCTGCAATCTACCACAATGAGGAAAACCTTGCTTTCTTCTCTTTATAGAAGTAAAGTAATAGATCTATTGAGCACCGGGGACCTGCCATTTGAACATCCTACACAAGAATACCTAATTTTTAAAGTTTTATCATTAAAGGGAAGTAAATTTCCAGATAGCTTTAAAACATTTAAACTTTGCATGCCCAAGACAGCAAAGAATTCTAACTTCTAAGGAATGACTTAGCATGTATTACAATTTGTATAAATGAGTCTTAAGGTATATGGAAATGACATTATGAATGGGAATACTGTCCACCTTTGCCTTGTCTGCAAATTCATGACCTCCAATGATTACTACAGTCTGAAGGGCTCTGTGTCTACGTTTTTCCCATTCTCTGAATAAGCCAGGCTAACATGTGAGGGAAGTTCTCTGTGTTTTAATAAAAGTTTTAAAACTTGGAATTGAGTTCTACTTAACCCACAGTCTGACTCAATAAGTGTTTCAGAAAAGAACATATATGGAACAGGAAAATACACCCTAGGATTCTTGGGGTTACCTATATTACAAATTCTGTATCCAGACTAAGTTACTGACCTGAAAGCCAACTGCAGGGAAAATGGCTATGTCCTGCTGGGAAGGACTACCCTGAAGTTCCCTAGCTTGCTTGAGTTTAGTAAGAGTCTTCCATGGTGTGTGTATGAGACATTTCCTAGGAAAACAGATTGGTATATCTTTGCCTACCTCTGGAGGATATGTAAAGATTAATAAATTTCTCTCAAATTTAAAATTCTGTTCTCTCTGGCTTACGAAGATCACTAAATTTTTATAATGGGTTTGTGTAAGTCTAAATAAAAAACTAAAGTATTCCCAGAGAAGGAATGAATTCTACTTCTCATGTGGTTAAGTACTTGGGCCCTCTCAGTGGGGTATAACTACAAAGGGCTAGCACAAGGCAGTCTTGTAGGGTGATAAGTCTTCCGTACCCTCATCACTCCATACCTGTGTTAAATCCCGTGTTAAAAGTGTATAGAACTCTAAACCAAATTAAAAGTCAATTTCACTGTACGACAATTTGAAATTTTTAAAGAAAAAAATTTAACCTCTAAGTTTTTTTGGAAGGGCCAAATAGCAGTTTTAACTCTCCTTCCTGCTGTTGTGCACAAGCATTCATGAGCCAGTGTCGTATCTGCTGTTAACTGCAAGTGGCTCATTATATGAGATCCAATTTTATAGCTAAACTGATTCTTTTAAAAGTATCAAAAAATGTATTTCTGAAAGGAATGACCTCTTTGAGAGAAGTGTTCTTCTGTTCTTTGTCAATTTATATATTTAAAAAGAAATAATCGCAGTAGAAATCTCCCCCCGATTTTAATTTTTTTAAACATTACTGAAAACTAAGTTCTTAATTTCTAAGTAATTTAATATCCCTTCTAAATTTTATACTGCCAGCACTAACTCAAATAGCTCCCTTTAGAAGTTCTTTTTCCATTAGATGAAATGTGTACATGGTTTTTTTATCATACTAATCTACTCAAAATTAATCAAAATATTAAATGAGCTGAATTCCTCACCTGCTCTTTACTATTTCTTTGTAACTCTGTAGTAGCAATAGCCTGCTTTAATGTAACTCTGTTCAGAAAATCTCTGTATAGAACATTTACTCAAGCCTTTAAAAATATTTTCTAATCTTGACGCAGGTGGCTTTCAAATTGTGGTCTGTAGGCTGGTCCAAAGTGGAAGGGAGAGTCAGACGTGCGTCTGGATGAGACTCCCGCCAGAACAAAGAAGAAAAGAGAGGTGACTGTTTACATGTGATTTTACTCCTGGACACTCACCAATAGCAACTTGGAAGATTCAGGCAGGAGGAGGGAGTAGCCCCTCCGGCTTCCCTAAAAATGAGAAATTCCCTGAAAGATTGGGTCACACTAACAGTGTGACCTTGCTCTCCTAGCTCCAGAAGTTCCAAGTTCAAATTCCTGCCCTTCTCCCCAGAAGAAGAAAATGAAACTTAGGTACTGAGAAAGAAGTGGGTCAGAGGAAAATGTGTCTGAGGGAATATTTTGTGCAGTGCTCACAGGACTAGGCAGGCTTGCCTGCAGCCAACAAATGATTGCAAAACAAGGATCCCTGGGTTTCAGAGTCAAAGTGACTTGGGTCCATTCTTATTTATTTATTTATTTATTTATTTATATTTAGAACCCTATTTTGCCTCTTAGAATAAATATATAAGGAAGAATCCTTTTCTTCTATATGTACGACATTTTCTACTTAGGTTTTACTAACCATCTCAATACTTACTATACGTTGTAAGCTACACTGATGTGATACAGCCAAAAGCAAAAGGACTTCGTATGCCCTCCCCAGTTCACAAGAGAACAGGTGCATTGGTTTCCACGATAACAGTGAGGACAGAGGGATGAGATGGAACAAAGAACATGAACTTGCCCCGTACCTTCTCCTGAGCCTGTTGCTCCTTTTCAATGGTCTTCCTGAGAGTCGATTCCAGGTCATCCTTCTCCCTGCACACCTCCAGGTAACATTCTTGCACAGCAGCCATCTCCTTATTCATCTTGTCTAAGTCAGACCTTGGATACACAAAACCAGCAACTAAATGACCACAAAATAATACAAGGGCTACGAAGCAATTTTCCTCTCAAATATGGAACAGAATACTGTCTCTACAGCGTAAAGGATAGCTACACGCTCCTGCTCTTACCTAAGTTGCAATCGAGCCCCCTCATAAACTTCAAAGAGCTGCTGCTTCTCCAGAGCATGCTTTGCTAGGAGGCTTTCCCGAATTTGGGCTTTCATGGCTTCATGGTGCTGCTGGTAAGTCCTCTCACACCTAGAAACAGAAAGCAGACAGTAGAATCTGTGGCAGTACCCAGTGTTACTAGAAACACCAAGATGAACTGGTGTCTTTTCCTTCCTTCCCTACCCACTCCCTCCCTCTGATGTAAATTATAATCAAGGTCAGGTTGGTTTCCCCCAACCAAAAGTGGTAATAATTAATTCCCAATGGATGAGCTTAAAGAATCTTCAAAATTGTCTTTCTTCTAATGTATCTAGAGAAAAATTAGAAACTTGGACATGAAAATGCCCCAATCCTTCACACAGATAATGGTCTTTGGTTGAGGATTATTGACAAAAAATTAATTGAAATAATAGGGTATAGTTCCAAAATTCCAAGGTATCTAGATTAAACGTAAATACTAGAAGTACCCAACTCACAAGTAAGTTATGCTCCAAAAATCTGTTTCCAAGTTTATGATTTGGTATTTGGAAGACATATTCCCTCCCACAGATTTCTACCTAATAAAGAATAGTTTCTCAGACAGTCTATAAAAACCATAAAGCTATACTATTTCAATGAACTAGTTTTGATGGTGCTATAGAACCCAACCCACTACACAACATCATTCCCATGGAAAATGTGTTCTGAATTCTAATTTGAGAAGCCGGGGACTCCTCCTCTTCTGTCTAAGATCTCAGCAGGGAGGGTTCACTCCATAACTTCTCTTGAATTTTTTTTTTTCCTAAGCAGGGACAGGAGGGCAGAGGGTGGAGGGAGGCATTAGACCTCTATGTAGACTTTACCTATCCACAGCCTCCTGTTTATCACGGTCAAAATCTTGTACCATTTGTCTCATCTGACTACATAAGTCTTGATTTGTATTTCTCAGTTTTTCTTCAGTTTCTTTAAGTTCCTAGATACAAAAGAATAAAGTAGTTAGAGGAAATAAACGTCATTTTCACGGATTAGTCCAATCTTATCTTTTAATATCCTCTGTGCTTTATCTCTACCCTGTAACATTGATGAATCATTTTCATAATTCTACAATGTCTCTTTATAACCCCTGTAAGAGTATAGATTCATTTATTTGACAAGTAGCTTTCTGATAGGGTTAAGACTTAAAATTTTGAATTCATTTTGCACTGTATGACATGAAAACATTTAACCAGAGAAGTATTAGCTAACCAAGCTCTTAAAATAAGTCTTAGAATTCAATAATCTTCAGAGCTATATAAATAAACAAGGTTTAATTTTTTGGTCAAGAGAAGAACACCTCTAGTAGCCATGTTTTTCTATAGACAAGAAACTGGAATCACCTTCTCATGAAACTACTACCTCATGACCAATAAAGGGGAATAACTGGAATCCTTAGTCACCTACTAATAAACCTGTCTACTAAATCACATTGTCTCTGGATTTTTGAGAAGTCTGTTATATCCTTTGAATTTAATGAGGTCATAAAAATTCTCACAAAATATAGGAAACTTTTTTAATCACCTGATTTTGTTGTTGTAAAACGTGAATTTCATTTTTAAGTCGCAGAATGTCATCTTTGACAATCATATCAGAAGTAGAAGAGCCAGGCCATAATTGATTAGTTCCGTTTTCTGAGGTCTCTATTTTAGTCTAAATGTTAAAAAGAAATCAAAAGCTTTTCAGGTTTTTAAAAAATTCTAAGTTCTGCTTTTGAATGAATTTCATAACTTCAACGAAACTACAAAAACAACACAAATAATTTCCATATAACTTTTATCACCATCCCCAAATATAACTACAGTACAATGATCAGAACCATAAAATTAACAAGGATATAGTACTATTAACTAATCTGCAGACGCTATAAAAAAATTCTCCAATTTTTCTCTCACGTCCATTTTCCTAATTCAGGATCCAATCAACGATTCCACATTGCAATTAATTGTCATGTCTCCTTAGTCTCCTTCAATCTAGGGACAGTTCAGTCTTTGTCTTTCAAACCTATGACCTTTTTTTTTTTTTTAAGAGTATCAACTAGTTATTTTGTAAGATGTCTTTCAATTTGGGTTTCTCTGATATTACTTCATTATTAAATTCAGGTCATCCATTTTTGTCACGAATACCACAGAAGTGACTTGTGTGTGCTTTAGGAAACAGAGGATGTCAATGTGTGTCATCACTGATGATGGTCAATAAATGAAGGTGGTGTCCGCAGGCACCTTCACTGTAAAGTCATAATTTTTCTACTTGTTAATAGGAATAAGTAGCTTATGAGGAGATACTTGGAGACTATGCAAAAATTCTATTATTTATCTTACATCCACTAAGTTTAACATCTCTTCTATTTCTGTACTTATTTGTTTGTATAACCAGTATTAACTCATAGATCGGTATTTTATTCAACAGGTACAATTTTTAAGACTCATGACAGACTTTGGCAAGTTGTTTCCCACAAGGCCATGCAAATGTACACGGTCAGATAGTCTGAGCGAATCTGCCCAACTCTCTTTGCCTCCAATGGCAGTGACTCTCTAGAAATAATTATTGTACTTGATGGGGTAAGGGTAGCCAACTATTGCTTTTATTTGCATTTCTTGCATTGCCATGATACCAGAACCTCTTACATAACCTTCACTGTTTGTTTTTCATCTTCCCAGATATGCCTGTTTAAAGGACTTCTCATTTTCCTCTCACCTCCAAGTGTCTTCCTTACCTACCTTTATACCTTTATGAATTCTTTATTCATTGTGGACGCCACAGAGATTTTTTTTTTAATATCTACTATATTTGACTTATTGGTTTATGTATTTACTTGAAGTCTGAGCTTTCTTTCACAATGTCTGAAAAATATCCTGTATTGAGATTCATTCTCCTCATCGGGGAGATAATGTGCACCTCACTCATGTGTGGGGTGGCGGAACACCAAGGTTCTGGTTCAGTCTTCCATTTCATAGCCTTCACCTTTCTTTATAGGGAGACTGCTCTAGTTGGTGACTTTCCCCTTTCACTTGCCATCATTGCCCAGAAGCCATGCTTTTACTCTAGTCAGAAAAGAGAAGAGCTACGAATGAATACCTACTGTCACCTTCTCTCTAAATGTAGGGGTACTAATGATACTTTCAAGGATTTTACTGACTCATTAGAATGGCCTCTTTTTTAACTTGGCCCCCACTTTTTAAAGTTTATGATATTCATTTGTGCTTCCTTCCCCACTGGTGAGTTTTTATTCCTATGAGATGAAATGATCGAAAATAACATCATACTGATATACGGGAAAACAGTTTTCATGGCTAGCTATGACACTCAGTTTTGACTTATTATCACACTGCAGGCAGACAGACACTAGATACTTATACCTATTAGCACAAAACCCTTATGAAAATCTTTAAAGAGAAAAACACCACTTGAGTGTCACAATGAAACTTCTTTCTAAAGTTGGAATACTAAAGACATTACCTTCAAGAAAATTAGACATGTAATACACCAATTCTCACATTATCTTCCTAATTTCTATGTCTAAAAAGATTCTAGCTAGGAACCTTCTGAGCTATTGAACACTGCCTGTCAAGTACCTTGGAATCAGAGTATGGCTTTAACGGCTTTAACCACAGCTCATAGTTAGGTAATGATCTCTACTGAGTATCAGATACAGAAAGGCCTCTGTGTTTTATTATTATGCTAACAAAAAATTCCATGTCGATATGGGTCCTGACTGCTAGACTGATCTTCTGAAGAACTTTACTACATTCTACCTTAATGGCCCAGTTGTTCAATTGGAATGAACAGCAGAGGATTTGGTCCACTCCCAATCAGTGCATAGAGCTGCATTTTGACAAGCTACTAACCTTCATCACTTATGATCCTGGAAATGTCAGAGAGCAGCACTGTTTGAACAAATGACATGAAAGCAAAAACAACAGAATCTTTGTGATAATCTGTAATTGTTCTGTATAAAATGGATATGAGCAAACATAAAATATACTACAAGGTTATAAAGCAGTAAAAATAGTAATACTTTTAAATGTTCATAAAGGAAACATGCTAAGATTACATAGTACATATTCTTGCTTGCCTTTTCAATACTTAGAAAGGCTTTAAGAAAGGATTTTGATGACCTAATTCTCTTTAGAAAGATATCTGAGGAAGTTTAAATTGACACGTTCTCTCTCTTAACATCCTTACAGCAAGCAGAGAAACTCAACATTGTAACATTAATGTCAGGATTTAATATTATTCTAAAAACTGGTATAATATCTATATACTTGTGGCTTCAAAGATTCCAGAAAGATTGAGTTTATACAATATAGACTTTCATTCACATGCCCTACTCCCTACTTACATCAGCTTATTTGCTACAACCTTTCATATACTTCTGCTCACTGCTGAAATGTTTCTTCCTACTTTCTCTCCTGCATTTATCCTTCAGGAGAGAGATCAAACATTTTCCCCTTAAAGACCTCACTAAGGCTTGCCTTACCATCTCACCTACAAACATGCCTGGTGAGTTATTCCATCTCAGAGCACTTTGCAACTAGCATCATCCTTACTACACAAAGTCATACACATCCATCTCCTTACAGACCTGTACTGTTGAATATGGTAGCCACTAATCTCATATGGCTATAGAGCACTTGAAAAATGTCCATTGACAGATGAATGGATAAAGATGTGGTACACAAACCACAAACACACACACACATACACAATGGAATATTAGCCATCAAAAAGAATGAAATCTTGCCATTTGCAATGATGTAGATGGAACCAGAGGGTATTACGCTAAGCAAAATAAGTCAGAGAAAGACAAATACCATATGATTTCACTCATATGTGGAATTTAAGAAAACAGATGAACAGAGGGGAAGGGAAGGAAAAATAAAATAAGATGAAAACAGAGGGAGGCAAGTCATGAGAAACTCTTAACTATAGAAAACAAAGTGTTGCTGGAGGGGAAGTGGGTGGGGGGATGGGGTAACTGGGTGAATGGCATTAAGGAGGGCACTTGAAGTAATGAGCACTGGGTTTTGTATAAAACTGATGGATCACTAAATTCTACCTCCGAAACTAATAATATAGCATATGTTAATTAAATTGAAATTAAATAAAAAGTTATCAAGAAAGAAATGTGTCTTGTCCAAATTGAAATGTGCTGTAAGTAGATAATACATGTTAGATTTCAAGGACTTGGCATAAACATAGAAAATGTAAACCATCTCATTAATAATTCTATATTGATTACATACTGAGAAGATAATATTTTTAATATATTGGGTCGAATAAAATATATTCTTAAAATTAATTTCACCATTACTTTTACTTTAATGGGGTTACTAGAAGATTTTAAATTACATAGGTGGCTCCATTATACTGCTATTGGGATAGTGTCGTTCTAGATTCTAAATTCCTTCAAGGAATGGCCATTGTTTCTTTTCACTGCATCCCACAAGACCTTGCACAGAATAGCTTTACCAAAAACAAAAACCAAAAATAAACAAACAAAAAAACACCTTAAGCTGAACAGTTTGCTCTTACTCCATATATCCCCCAACCCTGCTTTCTAATGTTACAGACTAAGTAGAAAGCTCATTAGAAATGTGGGAAATAAGGCATAGTTTGAAGGTGTCCATGGGCTAATCAGATGACTGTGAACTTGAGTATTCATCTAAAAAAAAATACCCATTGGTTAAATTACTACTTCCCCCAGCTTCATTTTCCTCATCTGTAAAGTGAGGACACTAACTAAAGGATATGTGAATCCATAAAGTGGATTCAATGATTCTGACTTAACTGGTTTCTGTGCCGATCCCACTCATAACACCACCACTACATAATTAATTTCCTTATGTAGAATGATGCTTACTACAGGAGCATGGGCCAGAGAATTCTTATGGACAAAATGCTGAAAGATCTAGCTGTGAAGAACTTAAGGTTACAACATCATTGGTACAAGCCAATCTTGAGGAAATACAGGTAATTTGTTACGTAGACTGTTTCCTTGGATTTGTGGTAAAAGAATTTTACCTAATTAGCATCTCATTTACGAGATGTCAGGAGGAACTAGAAAATATATTACTTTATGTGGCATTCCCTTCTTTATACTTTACTTCTAAATAATGTCAAATGAAACCCTGGAAGACAAAGGTTTGATTTAAATGTGAAGACTGTAAACATTTTCGTTATTTAACTTTTTAAAAATGGGTTTTTGACGACAAATTCTACAAACCTCAACCATGATGCTTTTCTCATCTTTCTCCGCTTGTTGGAGACCTTCAATTTTCTTGCGACAGTCTCTGAGATCATTTTGTAACTGAGACACCAGGTGACGCTTCACAGAGTTACTTCCCAGCAAACGCTGCACTTCTGCTTTCAGCTTCAGAATGACCTCATCTTTGGAAAGTTCATCCTTTGGCTCTTCTTTCTGTATAGTGCTAATAGAGAAATTATCATATTTAATATTAAAGCAAGTAACAAATCAAGCATGGTTAGTCCTTGAAAATAACTGACTACAGTTGAGACCATGTTTTGTGACCATGTATACAACTATACACTAGTATTTCAAAAACAATTTTAATTTCTTTCATACACAATGATATTACCCTCGCTACGTCCCCATATATAGAAGTCTATTGATAAGACTATGATTATGCTTAGACCACCTGCCTCACTGAAAAGAGTTGAACCATGTGAACTTCGGTATGGCATGCTTTTTTTGCTTTTGGTTAAGTTGCATGCTTTACATACATGCCCTGTATGAACCGAAGAGAAACAACACAAAAATAAAGGAGGCAGTGAAAAAAGTAAGATACTAGTCTTCCTAACAATTTCTGTATTTCTTTTATTAATACACAAATCTAGGTGGTTATCTGAGCAATTGGGGCAAAAATAACAAAAATAAAAGCCACACTAATTTAATTCCAAATTTAGTTTCAATAAATTTCAAAACTGGAATGAGAATGAGAAATCTGCACCATGCTATAATAGATTAATAGTACCAAATTTCTATTCCTGCCTTAAAAAACAAGAAAACCAGATAAAATACATGAAATGATCATTTTCAATCATTAGACAACAGACAGCACAGCATAATGATCCCTCAGGAAAGGAAAACAAACAAGATGAGCCCTATCTATGCTCATTCCTGTTTTCTCCCCAGGAAGTTTCCAGCCTGTGGCACAGGGAGAGAAAAGCCAAAGGCAGCCTAGTAATCTTACCAAGTTGCAGAGTTCAGTTTGGGAAAGACAAAATGGCTAGAATAGGATGAGGGAAATACTATGGGAAAGGTAACTACAGAAAGAGAGAGCTCTAGAGATCTGTATATCCATGTGAGAATATTACTACAAGGCCAGGTAAAGAGTCACAGAAAAGAAATAGGGCTGGGAATACTGCAGGTTCCAAAGAACTATAGTGGAAAGACATAATTCACAAAATATCAAATACTGCCTTAGTAATGGGGCCAAATTAGGCCCAGATTAAATAAAGACTGCTCTAAATCTGACCTAACAAAACCTATAAAGAAGCCTTAAAAGGACCAAATGGATTCCAGGAAACTTAAGTGTGCCACAGAAAAAGAATAACAATATTTTAAAAATTAAACAGGATTAACATCTCAAACATAAAATTCAAAATGTTCAGCATCCAATCAAAATTTACCAGGCATGCAAACAGGGAAAGAAAATATAAACAACAACCAGGAGAAAAATCAGTCAATAGAAACTGACCCAGCAATGATGCTGGCAGTAGAACTAATTATATTTCAGATGTTAAGGTAAGAGAAACAACACAAACACAATGAGAAATAAAGGATATAAAAATGACCCAAACCAAACTTTGATGAAAAATTACAACATCTGAAACGAAAAATATCCTGGATAAGATTAACAGCTTATTTAATTAACATTAATTATTAATGCAGAAAAGATTAGCAGACATAAAGACATAACAATAGAACCCTATAAAATTAAACACAGAGAGAAAGAAGACTAAAAGAGAAATATACTAAGCATATTAAGTTTTCTAACCCCATTGTAACTGAAATCCCAGAAGAGGAGAGGGGAAGGGGACCAAAATAAAAATTTTGTTTATTCTTTTAAAGATTTTACTTATTTCAGAGAGAGAGAATAAGCACAAGCAGGAGAGGGACAGAGGGAGAGGGGGAAGCAGACTCCTGACTGAGCAGGTAGCCCAACAGAGGGCTCAATCCCAGAACCCTGGGATCATGACCTAAGCCGAAGGACTGAGCCACCCAGGCACAACCCAATATTTTTTTAATGACCAAAACTCTATTTGATGAAAATTAAAACCCTATTAAAACCTACAAGGTCAATGAATCTCAAGCAGAAAATGAAGAAAACCACTGTAAGTTATATTAACATCAAATTGCTGAAAACCAAGATAAAGAGAGAGCACAGGAAGACTCCTGGAGAGGAGAGAAGCAGAGAAAGGAGTCATAAATTCTGTGCATAAATGTGTACATGCCTCAGTCTAAGCCCTGAACTATGCATGCACAGAACAGACTCACGAACCTGCAGAGTAAATATTTGGAGAATTTAATTGAAATGTAAACCACACACATAAATCTCACAATGACTAACTTTTGAGCTATGCATATAAAGACAGATTCAGACCAATGTGGCAAAGGCTTGGACAAATAAACAGATTTGAAACTCCATACAAGTTTCTACACAACTTAAAAATCTGAACGTCTAATACAGGCATTCTCAGGTGATATCACTGATTTGGTTGCAGACCACCACAGTAAAGCAGACAGTGCAGTAAAGTGACTCAAATGAAGTCAACTAAGTGAGTAATACCATTATATCTAAAAAACAATATACAAACTTTACTTAAAAAATACTTTCTTGCTAAAACATGCTGACCATTTTGAGTTTTAGTGAGTTGTAATCATAGATCACAGATCACCATAACAAATATAATAAGAAAGTTTGAAATATAGTAAGAACTACCAAAATGTGACATAGAGACATGAGATCTGAGATCACCAAACACTGTTGGCAAAATGGCATCAACAGACTTGCTTGATGCAGGGTTGCCAAACTGTAAAGAAAATACAGTATCTGCAAAGCACAATACAACCAGGTGTGCCTGATCATAATCTAAAGGTATTTGACATGCAACTAACCAAGAAAATGGACCAATCTACAGATGATGAAAATGCTGGAGCTATCACAAAGAGTTTTCAAAGTTTAAAGCACCTATTATGTCTCTGTTCTATGAAATAAAGGGAAACATATTTAAAACGAATGAAAAGATAGGAATTCTCAGCAAATAAAAACTATAAAGGAACCAAAAAGAAATGTTATCATTGAAAAATACAGTATTTGACAGGGCACCTGGGTGGCTCAGTGGGTTAAAGCCTCTGCCTTCAGCTCAGGTCATGATCTCGGGGTCCTGGGATCGAGTCCCCCATCGGGCTCTCTGCTCGGCGGGGAGCCTGCTTCCCCCTCTCTTTCTGCCTGCCTCTTTGCCTACTTGTGATCTCTCTGTGTCAAATAAATAAATAAAATCTTTGAAAAAGAATAAAAAAGACGAAAAAAAGAAAAATACAGTATTTGAAAGTTAAAAGAAAAAATCCCCACTGGACAAGTTTAATAAAGATAGATAACAGAACGAAGAGTGAATAAACTTAAATATAGCTCAATAGAAATTATCCAAAATGAAACAAAAAAAAATTGGAAAAAAATGAACTGTCTCAGGAACCGTGGGACAATATAAAAAAAAATTTAAGTTGTATAATTAGAGACCTAGAGTAGGAGAGAAGAAGCAGGGACAGAAAAGATATTTGAATAATGGTCAACATTCCACGAGTCTGGTAAAAGACATAATAAATTTACATTTTCAATAAACTTGGTAAACCCCAAATGAACTAAAAAAAAAAAAAAAAGAACACACACACACTTAAGACACATCATAATCAAAGTATGAAAAGGAGAAAAAAATCTTGAAAACAACAAAAGTAAAACAACACATTACACACAAGATAATGGTCCAAATAACAACAGATTTCTCTTCAGAAACCATCAAGGCCAGAGACAGTGCAAGAACATATCTTTAAAATGCTGAAATAAAAGAACAATTGGTCCAGAATTCTATAATCAGGAAATAAAAGGACATCATCTAAGGAAGCTTAGAAGAAATGCTAAAGAAAATTATTCAATTTAACGGAAAATGTCATCTATAAAAAACTATAGGGACGCCTGGGTGGTTTAGTGGGTTAAGCCTCTGCCTTCGGCTCAAGTCATGATCTCAGGGTCCTGGGATCGAGTCCCACATCGGGCTCTCTCTGCTCAGCAGGGAGCCTGTTTCCTCTCTCTCTGCCTGCCCCTCTGCCCACTTGTGATCTCTGTCAAATAAATAAATAAATAAATAAAATCTTAAAAAAAAAAACAAAAAACCCACTACAAAACATTACTGGAGAGAAACTAAAGAAGACATAGAGAGGTACAACATGTATGTTCTGAAATTGGAAGACTCAATTTTTTTTCTTCCTCCAGCTTTATTTAGGTATAACTGACAAATAGCAATTTCTTAAGGTGTCAATTCTCTCCAAATTGGTCTAGAGATTCAACATAATCCCAATTAAAAGTCTAGTAGACTATGTTGTAGAAATTGACTACCTAATCATTAAATTCATTTTGTAATGCAAAGAACTTAGAATATTCAAAACAATTTTGAAAATAAAGTTGAAGGACTTGTCCAAAACATTTCAACACTTTACTGTAAAGCTACAGTATCAAGACTGTTATTAACCAAAAGCATAGGGGAACAGAATGGAAAGTACAGAAACAGGCCATAAATGGTCAATTAATTATCAACAAAGATACCAAGGCAATTCAATGAGGAAAGAGAAGTTTTTCTGACAAATGATATTAGATCAACTGGATATTGATATGAAAAAATTGAGTGGTGCAACCAGTACCACAACCTACTTTAGAACATTTCAACATCCCAAAAAAGAAACCCTATACCTATATTCCTCATACATTCCTCATTACCCCTTCTTGTCCTCACAGCTCCAAGCAATCACTAATCTACCTTCTACCTATGGATTTGCCTATTCTGTACATTTACATTTACCTTATACCATACTAAAAAACTAATTCATAATGGACCATAGATATAAATGTAAGAGGTAAAACTATCAAATTTCTAAAGTCCTAAGAAAATTTCTGTGACACAGTTACATTAGAACAAAAACCCATGAACTCTTTTAAAAGATAACTGATCAATTTGAATTCATAAAAACTTAAGCTCTTGCTCTTCAAAAGATACATTAAGAACGTGACAAGGAAAACCAGAGCAAAAGAAAATATTCACAACATATATATCAGAGAAGGGGCTTGTACCCTGGAATAAATAAAGACAAAATGGCATATACAAAATGGCAATTAAGCACATCAGAGAAAAAAAA